CTTAAAAATGCCTAACATATGGTCAAACTGAAATTCCTGAGGGAATTCTCCAAAGGAAGTGATTTATGAAAAATCTGCATTACCAGCAGAAAAATGTCTTGCAGAAAATTGGCTCTTTTTCATCATAATCATGGAGGGCAAAATTTAAAGCATCTAAAATTGAGTTTCATCTTTTATTGTTTTAGCATATTTTTTTCAGATGTTATCTTGTGAAGTTATCTTTCTGAAGTTATCTTGTGTTACTAATTTCAAAGTGGTTTGATAACTACCCAGTCCATCCAAAGCTGCGATTGCAGTATACATTAACTCTGCAAGTACTGTAATCTAAACAAAAAATACCACATCAATTTTGCCCCAAGTATAACAGTTGTTTCTTCTGCAGGCCAGTATTTTGACAGGGGACCGCGTTTGGAGAATGCCTCTCTTTGAACATTACACAAAACAAGTTACCGATTGTCCACTTGCAGACCTCAGTAATGTTGGAAAATATAGCAGGTACATTACTTAACTGAAATGCAGCAACGCTTTCTTGACTGATACACTTATTTATCATCACATTGTTGCTTTAGAAATAGCCAGCATTTCCATAGTTATTGGAATACTTTGAACTTGCGCTAACAGTCACTAGTACAGTTAGATTTTAAAACAGGAGTTGGGATTTCAGTATTTTTACTTTTAAAAATTGCTAAAATATAGAGCCAAATCTTTATTTGTCCATTTAGGACCAGATGGTGACAATGACTCTTGTTCAGGGGGCGAGCACACAATGAACCTACCCACCCCCACTCTGTGTCCTGCCCAATGAGTATTTAAGAGTCCAGTCCTTGCACACCAGGAAGCATGGAGAGTTTGCCCTAGGGGCATGTTTCTCTGCAAAGAGGGCTGAGAGTGGGCCAGCTTCACCAAAGAAAAGAAGCTCTACCATCTTAAAATGATGTAACCAGCATATCTGGAAGCTGGGGAACAGAACATCAGTACTATCACTTTACAGGTCTGGGGGAGGGGTAATATTATGTTTAAACAGGCACATGGCTCTGTAATTCTACCAAACATTGAGTATTACTGTGTTCTTCAAGTGCGTGTTAGTGTGGATCCCACATAGAGGTTCACGTGCATCATGTCACAAAATCATAATCTTTTGAATATTGGGGGGCCATGCATGCACCTTGTCTGAATGTGTAAAGGGCAGCCACAACTCTCCATCAGTTTTCTCAGAGACCTCCTGCATACTCAGCCATCTGTCAGCCAGCTTCTGCACAGAATCTCAACATTATTCTCCGGAAGCTCATGGAGCATCCTTTTGAGTTGCTGTCTGATTGCTTGGTACATCATCTTACCCTCAAGTGGCTGTTACCTCAGAAGAGAGGGCTAATGAGCTCCAAGCTCTCAGAGCTAGACCTCCTTACACCTTCTTTCACAGGGACACAGTGATGCTGAGACAGCACCCCAAATTCTTCCCTGAAGTGGTCTCAGAATTTTACCTAAATCAATCAGTTAATCTTCCAGTCTTGTTCCTGAAACCACACTCAACACAAGGAGAAAAGCAACATACTCTAGATCCTCTCCACCTCTTTGTGGGCCTATGTGACATTTTGGACAAAAGCAGTGGACAAAAGCAATGTATTTCCACTTGCCATCAGATAACTGGCAAGCCTCTCCCTACAAACACCAAGACACACTCTACACCAGGGCACAGGCAGTGTTGTCAGCTTGGTTGAGAAGCATGCTAGTATCTGAGATCTACAACAGAGCGATGTTGAGCAACCCGTTGACTTGTGTTAAACATAATGTCCTTACATGGCAGCCAGGTCTGATGCCAAGTTCAGCAGAACAGTGCTTCTGTCATTATTTGAAGCTGAGACTCTTCAGTTCCACCATCCTGAGGTGATACTGCTTGCCACTTACCGACAGTGGGATTCACACTGATGCATACTTGAAGAAGGAAGAATGGTTTCTTACCCTGTGGTTCTTTTGAGATGTTGTGGATCTGCCCTGCCCTCAGTCCCCACTTTTTGAAGTTCTCGGCTTTTAATTGAGAGAACTGAGGGAGAGTTCCAGTTGCTTCACCCTTTATGCCCTTGTGTGGAAGCATTAGACGGCACAGGGTGCATCTACAGCTCTGACAGACACGGCTATGCAGAAGCTTCCAATCATGAGGTGCATGCACACCTTCAGTGGATCCACACTGAACATATTGAAGAACCCCAGTTGCTGGAGAGTAGCTAACCATTCAGTGTGCATTTTATTGTTGATTTAGAGTTGTTTAAAGTTTTTAAAAATCCACTTTTTTTTTTCTTTCTCTTCTCCCTCCTCCCTCAACAGAGCTGGAGGTGCATGCACAGCTGCTGCCTTCCTGAAAGAATTTGTGACTGCAGCTAACTGGGCTCATTTAGATATTGCTGGTGTGATGTCAAATAAAGATGAGGTTCCTTATCTTCGAAAAGGCATGGCAGGACGACCCACGCGAACATTAGTAGAGTTTGCTACACGCTTGAGCCAAGACCAGCGAAGTGTCTAGTAAAATACTAATTCTGTAATCTTCCACTCCACCTGTCTACTTCAATTAATCTTAAAATTTGTTTTAAAACGAGTTAATGGCCTATGGCATGTGTACACTGATAAAATGCCAAATGTGGAAGTAGATCTGCAATCCAGGAATACTTCCCATAATCTAAAAAGATATAATGATGAAAGACAAATGCATTTTATAAACAGTTCTTACTGAGTAAGAATATCCCATAGTTGAGGTTCCCTCTTCCCATTTTATGCTGTTGAAGGTGAGAAGTTCTGTTTGAACTATTTTTAGGCATTTAATACTGAAAAAAGATCATTGTAAACATCTGGATTTGTGTTCAGATGTATAAGTAGTAGTGATCTGTGTAATGGTCACAAACAATAAATCTACCTTTTTAGTTGCTTTAGCAAGTTCTTTTGTCTAAACAGTATAATGTAGCCTCCACTATAAAACCATTAATCTGGAATCATGGCCCTTCTTCTGTGTTTTGGATATACCATACATGGAAGAATAAGTCTGGATAGTGTTTGACAGAAATTTTGTCAGAACAACATACTGGAAGAAGCTAGAGGTACTGTTACCATCTGTTTAATCAGCTAATCCATGGTAGTGTTTTATTAGGTATTGGGAGACTCCATTGCTAGAGGTATCTTAAACTAGATAATGAACCAGAAAATAAGCTGTAAGGAACCTTCCTATGTTGTCAGGGAGATGGATTATCTTGCCAATGTCTATATGAGATGCCAATTTATTGAGCATAATTAATGGAAATTAAACAATTTCCTGCAGTTGTTTATAATTCCTCTCAAAAAGCTTGGCATAAAAATTTGTCTCCCTAATGGTGGTTTTGCTTTTTTCATTGTGCTTGCATTGATTTTTCTCTTGTGCCTTCAATAAAGCTGAAATTAACATGACTGTTTTTGATTTGGGTAACTTCTTGGTTGTGTAAAACCATAGTTAATGGTACTCTCAATCTGATCACAGTTTTAGGGGAGGGATTGTTTAAAGAAAAACTTTTTCTTGGAGTGTGTGTCAGTAAGAGGAACAGCTTTTCTAATGTGCAGTGTGTCAGTGTATTTAAATAGAGGAGTTTACAGAGACTAAAACTACTCTTTTTTTACTGATCAGTCTGCACCATCAGGTGACATCATCTGAATTCTAATTTCTGAAATCTGAGCCCTCATATTAGTATTCCCCTGACACCTGTAAATTTCCCAACTGCAGTTCAGTCAGGACTTAATTGTGGCTGGCTAATTGTTTAGAGGACAGCACCCCTGTTTTGCTTCCTGTAACCATGGTTGGCCCCAAGAATTCACAGCAGATGTGGCATCTGAGTGCCATAGATACAGGCTCAGCACAATTGTAGGAGTGTGACAGGAAAATAAACTGTTAACAGGATACATGTGAAAGGATAATCTTTTCCTCTGTCTTGCTATTATACTTTGCATTTGTAAAGCTCCTTCTGTCTGATCATTTCAAAGCAGTGTAGTGATAATTTTAGATTTGTACACCTAATCAGTGGCAGAGTTGGAACTGCAACTTAATTGCTTTAACCACTATCTGATCCATATGCAGATCGCTGTCCTAAATTCAGCATTTACCTGTGCATAATTTTGCAAAAGCACCAGTATATCTCAGTACATATTGCTAATTCCATATGCAAATTAGATCCTTAATTATTAGCACTCATTTATTTTTCATCTGCTGCTTTTGTTTTTGGATGGACAGTGAAAAGGCAGCCCAGATTAAAAATGTTGAAGCATACTTTTACCAAATTTGAACCTCTCCAGGTTTAAAAAAAGGCCACTATGATCATAGATACAAGGAGAAAAAGGCCACTATGATCATAGATACAAGAAAGAGGAGAGGCATTTGAGGACAGAAGCTACAGCTTCTATCCTCGGAGAACTAAGGGGCCGGGGGTTGTGTATGTGACTGCCAGGACGTGGGAAAACCTGTACCCCTGTTGGGTGACGATGCAATAGGGTTGCCAGCTTTGGTCAGATTGATTCCTGGAGGTTTCATCACATGACCTCTTTAATTAAAGATTAATCTTTAATTCCTGGAGACTCCAGGGCAATCCTGGAGAAGTGGCAACCGGGCGATACAAGGAAGCTGGGGTGGCTTTCAGAGGGCCAGGGAGCTGCTGCCTCCCTGTGGAGAGAGGCCAACGAGCGCGGGGCTGCCTGCAGCCATCGCAGCTCCGGGGGCTCCGTTCAGCCGTAGGGGCAGAGGTCGACTCCGTGGGCCTGCAACCCCCGGCAGCCTCGGGGCTTGTTCTTCCTTCCTGTCAGGACGGGGGCCTGAGCCAGCAGCTGCCGCCGGCCGGGGCAGTGACACCGGCCTTGTCGGGGCAGCTCCCTGGCGCTGGGCCCCTGGCCCGCCGCAGCCCCGCCCCCCAGGGCCGGCTCCCAAGGCGCGCGAGGGCGACGCTGCCGTGCAGGCCACGCCCACCTCCGCGGAGCCCCGGGCGTCGGCACCGCGGCGTCTCCTGTCCCCTCCGCTGCGCAGGCGCAGTTCGCTCTCGGGGCGGCGCGTCATGGCGGCGGCTCTGAGCGGGATGTTTACAAACCAGCCATCGGGGCCGCCTCCCCCTCCGCTCCCTCCCGGCGGCCCCGGCCAGGCTGGTCTCCTCCCGGCCGCCGCGGGACCGCGCAACCCCAACAGCACCCTGGTGGACGAGCTAGAAGCTTCCTTTGAGGTTGGGGGGGGGAAGCTCAGGGACTGGGGGGCTCAGGGTTGCGAGGGGGAGGCAGAGGGAGGTTCGGGGCGGGGGGGGGAGAGGAGGCAGAGGGAGGTGCGGGGGGAGGTTCAGGGCGGGGGATGGTGGGGGGAGGCAGAGGGAGGTGCGGGGGGAGGTTCAGGGCGGGGTGGGGAAGAGGAGGCAGAGGGGCTGGGGGAGGCATACAGGGCTGAGGATTTTGGGGGGAATGAACCTGCATGAAGCAGTGTGCGCTGACTTTCTGCCTCCCTGGTCCACTCTTGCCATTTGCAAGGGCTGTTGACGAGTGGCGGCTGGCTGGCTGTCCTTGCATGACATAGAGAATCATAGAATATCAGGGTTGGAAGGGACCTCAGGAGGTCATCTAGTCCAACCCCCTGCTCAAAGCAGGGCCAATCCCCAGTTTTTGTCCCAGATGCCTAAATGGCCCCCTCAAGGATTGAACTCACAACCCTGGGTTTAGCAGGCCAGTGCTCAAACCACTGAGCTATCCCTCCACCCCTAAAGCACATGTGCATAAGGTGCCTGGTTTCTCCTTTAAAACAAGTATCTCTATTTTCCCAATCATCTAGGCTTGCTTTGCCTCACTTGTGAGTCAGGATTATGTGAATGGCACAGATCAGGAAGAAATTAGAACTGGTAAGAGCCTGCCAGTATTTTGTTCTGGCTATAACAGGGTTGGCACGTTGGGTTCATTAAAAAGATACTGTTAAGTTATCTGTGCTAATTTTTAAACTACAAACCTTCTAATTTCCTACACATAATCTCAGGAACCTGTGCATTTATAGGGTCTATCTACACTAGGGAATCTATAAAAATTTTTTATCACTGTTAATATATTTTGAGCTTCACTGGTCTATGCTAATTTGGAAGCAGTAGTGGAGAGAGCCCAGTGTCTGCTGCCACTGTTCTAAATACTATGTCATCTCACCCTATTAAGATCGGTCTTTTTTAAAAGTATTTAGGTAGTCATGTGCCTAGTGGGATTTTCAAAAACACATAACTCTCAGAGTTAGGCACCTAGGCACTACTGAAAATCTGCCCAACGTGCTTAACATGATATCAGCAAGTTATGTGTCGTTTATGGTAGAGATCCAAATGTGGCTAATCCAATGGGGCTGAACCAGTGTTAACAATTACAAGAATTTTTGAAAAATGTTCCTAGTATAGCCACAGCCTTGTGGAATTTTTCACGACTATTATAGTTAGCTGGCAATGGGAGAGAGAATCCCACCGAAGCATTTGGTTTGTAAAACAGATAAGCCTCATGAATTACAGTGACTGAGCAAAAAGGTTAGGGAGGAAAGGAGAACCTGGGTTCTGCTTACCTTGACAATATCTTTTTTAAAAAAATCTTTCTTTTGCACTCAAAGCTATGTGACTGGGAGGAATATATTCTAGTGGATTGCTGTTCTGCTCATGCAATGGCAGCATTAGAAGCCAACTTCTAATTCTGGAATCCCTGTTTATAGTAGCTTATAAAGTAGAAAAAGGCCTGGGTAAAATGTTCAGAAGTCTTATTGAAAATGAAAGGGATTTAAGAATTGAAGTCCCATTTTCGAAAGTGACTTACGAGCTTTTGAAAACTCTAGCTCCTTGTTCTCTTTTCAGATATCAGGTTATACTTATGGACTAAGTTCTCTCTAAGCTGTGCATCTGCACAGTAGCCTATTAAGTGCTGTGTAGGTGCTCAGGGCTGCAGCTGGGAGAGATCCCAGCCCCGGACCTGCCACGGCAGAGAGGGATATCTCTCCTCACCGGCTCCATCCCCGGACTGGTCGTGGGAGAGGCGCCCCTTCCCCAGACCAGCCACAACTGGGGAAGAGGCAACCCCCCCGGACCCAATCAACCCCAGCCCTGCTGAGGCTGGGGGAGAGGTGCCTATCCCTTGGCCCCAGCCCCGGAGCTGCCGCAGCAGGGAGAGATGCTCTCCCCCAGCTCCGGAGCTGCTGCGGTTGGGGGAGAGGTGCTTCTGCGGGCAGAGAGAGCTGGGGGGAGTCCTCTCTCCCCGCTGTAGCCCTGGGGCAGCCTGCACTCCAAACCCCTCATCCCCAGCCCCACCCCAGGGCCTTCACCCCTAATTGGAGCCCTCACACCCCAGAGCCCAACCCTCTGACCCAGCCCTGAGCCTCTCATCCCTGACCCCACCCCAGAGACTGCACCCCCAGCAAGAGCCCTCACCCTCCCACACTCTGAACCCCATCCCCACCACATGAATTTTGTTATGTGCACCAATATGGAGGTGATGTGTGTCCATATTGGTGCACATAACAAAATTCATTCTGCACATGAGTGGGAAAAATTAGAGGGAAAACTGCTTTTGGACTATGCTGGAATGAAGAAAACTCTTGCACTGGATAACTAAATAAATTTTATAAGAGTCGTTAACAAATATGCCTTTTTAAGTACTGTTCGTCTATTCTAAACATTACTGTAGGGTTTTGTGCAGTGATCTTGCTACATGGGAATACACTGAAATATTACTTAATGTATTTGCATTCAGTACCCACAGAAGTGATTTTCTGTTCATTTGTATACTTGGGTTTTGAGGCCCTTTGTCGTTAGAGAAGTTTTAATTAACCTTTTGCAGTGAAACGGGAAGTGACCGTATTCTTTTCCACATCTTACAGAATATTGATTGTAACTTGGTTACTATTAAAAAAGAGGCATGCCCCTTTGAGCTTGCAGAAGTAAAGGTCTGTGGGGGGATATCTATAGATATATTTAGTCAATTTACTTTCCATTATTTAGGGACTTCAGATTTTAAAAATACAGGCCACTAAAAATACAGAGCTTTACAATCAAGTTTTTGGATTTACTTTCTTAAATGTCTTTTGTAAAAAGCTGTAGATTAGCTTTTAAATATTGAACACGCGGCTACTTGGACAAAGAGGCTAATGTACATTAACTAATTTCCTTCTATGGATGTTGTTAAACTAATCTGGTCTTTGATTTCTTTATCTTTCAAATCTTGTTATATTTCTGTATTTTAGGTGTTGATCAATGTATCCAGAAATTTCTGGATGTTGCGAGACAAACAGAATGTTTTTTCCTACAAAAAAGATTACATCTGTCTGTCCAGAAACCAGAGCTAGTTATTAAAGAGGTAGGAGATTACCATCTTTTTATCTACTTACTTGACCTGTGACAACTTTAATTTGTTCCTTTCTTTTAAGACTAAGGGTGTATTTCTTTTGTTCCATGATAGTACAGAGAATCTGAGACAAGTAGCATATTTGATCAAGAAATGTAGTTTTTGTTCAGTGGAACATTTCTCTTCTTTCTCCATCTGCAAGCATACTGGATTTTTAAAATTTATTCCCATTTATGCTAGTTTTCCTAACTGTCCTACCATTATTATTTATATGGCTACATTAATACTACAAGTGTGCCGTGCAAACAAGCAGGTCTCTTTCCTGAAGATCCTAGAACCTAAAGGTACAAATAGGTGCAATGCAGCACAGAACAAACAATGGTTGATTTTAATTAGCTTATTGCCCTGTCCCTATAAGTTTGTAGAGCTCACCTGGATCATTCTCAGTAGCTCTTTACAGCACGTAAGAAAATCTGGATATAGATATGCCCCTTTGAGGGAACAGACCAGTTAGTCAAATTTGGATGTGCAGAGGGTAGACCTCTTTCTGAATTACATGCGGGGTATGGAAACAGAGACCTGGTACACTCAAGTAGAATGTATATCATGGAAGGGAGTAGCCAAATTATTCTATCTCCAGTTCAGCCACTTCTCATAGTAAGTTGTTTTCACTCTGAGAATTGTCCATTCTTTCATAGGAACTGTAATAGTTAAAATGAGTTTACAATGTAATCTTTTTACAAGGAAAATAAGTCATTAATTAATTCAAGATGTCTGTCAACTGCAGGATGTTTCAGAATTGAAAAATGAATTACAGCGGAAAGAAGCACTAATTCAGAAGCATTTGGGTAAACTGCGTCACTGGCAGCAGGTTCTAGAAGACATGAATGTGCAACACAAAAAACCTGCAGAAATGCCTCAAGGACCATTAGCTTATCTAGAACAGGCTTCTGCTAATATTCCTGCACCCATGAAGCAAACATGATTAAGAAAGATGTTTGAATTTAGATCTTTGAGTAATATTTTAACTTAAAGTGAAATGGAATATTGAACTTTCTACCTTGTATAATATGTGATGTAATTTGTAGTATAAACATAAATAGTGTTTTACTACGACCGTGGGACACAACTAAGCATAAAATAAATGGGGAAGAATCTGTAGTTTTTTAACTTTTTATCAAAGTATGGATTGGTTTTACATTCAAACTGAACAAATGCTCATGTATGTCTTATCTTGTAGTCACAATACACTTGCATAGAATATGCTAAACCCCCCTCCTATTACGTGGGGAAACTGACAGAGAAGTCCTAATGAAGCTAAAGTCCAGTTAAGGCACTGTTGATCTAGAAGTACTTGCAGAGTTTATTTGTTCATCTCAAGTGTAGCCTTGTATACAGTTTTCACTGTGAGTGTTTCTAATCATGTCACATCCTAAGATTCTGGAGAAATAGTGCAGACTTCTTATTGCTGAGACTGATTGGTCAAATAAATCAAAGCAAGGATTTTCTGTTGAGCACTGCTACTATCTGTGACTTAGGCACTTGTCTTCGCTAGGAGTGGGGGAGAATGTATTTTAAATGTGTTTTAAAAAGTACATCTCTTTTCCTAGTGTAGACATGGCCAGAAAGAGCTGATGGGATGTTGGTGCTAATGGGAAATGCTCTGGCATCTGATGCTTTTAAAATCTTGTAGGAGAGCTTCCTGTTGGAAAGGGATGGAGATGTGGTTAATATTTCCCAGTCATCCTCCATCTAAGCATAATGCCTGGCATTTTCTACCCTTTCCATGGCCTGTTTCTACAAATGTATGGTGCCTTCTTTTCCTCCTGAAACTATACCCACTCAGTTTAAGGGTTTGGCACCTTGGGAGAACGTTGTTGGCTTTCCTCATCAAAGCAGATTTAGCTGAAGTAGCTAGAAATTGAGTGTTATCAGTTTCAGGCTGCTGCAGCTGCCATGGAAAGCGAGTGGAGAAGTACTGCCTGATTGTGTACTATGTGGCTAATTACCTGAGGCTTTGTAAGTGAGGGAACCAGACAGCTTGTCTGCTCTGTGCTTGCCATTGTGCTCTGAGAGCACAGTGCAGGAGAGAATGTAAACTAAGGACATGGCTACACTTGCAGATGTAGAGTGCTTTGAGTTAAACCAGCCTTCGGAGAGCGCAGTAGGGAAAGCGCTGCCGTCTGTCCACACTGACAGCTTCAAACGCACTGTTCAAGCAGCACTTGCAGTGGAATTGGGAGCAGTGCATTATGGGCAGCTATCCCAACATGCAAGTGACTGCAACGTGCTTTTCAAATGGGGTGGAGTGGAGTGTGACAGGGAGTGTGTTGTTCAGACAGCAGCAGACCGCCCCCCCCAACACCTCTCTCTCTCTCTCTCACACACACAGCATTCCACACTAATGGCTTGCTTTGTCTCGGAGCAGATAAGCAGCCAGCTGTCAGAAACGGAGCTTTCAAAGGGCATAGTCACATTCCTACAATGATTCAAAAACAATGACAAGAGTGGCCACTTGACTTAAGGGGAGTATGGGACGTTTCTGGAGGCTGATCAGAGCACAGTAATGCAACACCTCGTTCGTGCTGGTGCTGCGGCGCTCCAGCAGGGGCGCAGCAAATGTTATTCCACTCGCTGAGGTGGAGTACCAGCAGCTCTGTAGCCACGGAGTCAGAGCGCTCTAGGTGCCTTGCCAGTGTGGACAGGTAGTGAGCTAGTGCGCCTGGGCCTCCTTTATTGCGCTGTAACTCGCAAGTGTAGCCAAGCCCTCAAACTCCCTTTAGAGAGTAGGTTTAAATTAACTTCACTCTGCTGTAAGTGGAGAGAAGCTGCAATGCAGGAGAAACTACTCCCAACTTCTGGAGCTAAATATTCTCTCAAAGCCTCTCTTCGAACCACTGACTTAAGGAAACCATCTGCTTGACTTGGACAGTACTTGAAGTTTCTCATTTTCCTGTAGAGACAGTCACCTATTTTCACACAAGGAATGGGAAGGCTGCCACAAAGTCAGTCAGTAACAAACTCCCCTTGATTGCTGCAAGTACAGGACTTGAGTTACATGATGATTGCTTTTTAAATTAACTCAATCTGTCTAGGCATGTACATCGCACTTAACTACTGTGTCCATTTTTGTCTGCACCTGTGAAATGAGAAAGGGAACTCCCTCAGTGGAAAAAGGCTTTTATCGACCTGAAAATGGCTGAATGATAAGAATCGAAGTCGATAGTGTCTGTCCTTTGTGGGGTTTTTGAGTGGTTTTACTGCTATTCCTCATAAGGCTTCTAGTTGTTCATTGGACTCAGATTTTGAAAAGATTTTTTTTCACCTTAAAAAGCTCATTTTGCTCTTGCATCTCTCAATACATGCACTACTACTCCAATTTATTAACTAGTAGCTCTTTCATTGCTGATCATTTTAGCAGAAACATCCTAAAATATTGATTCTTCAGTCCCAAACCCTCCCCCCAATTCCCACCTACTCAACTACCAGATATGTTGCTCTACTCATAATACTTGTAGCTATGTATTGTAAGTACAAAAAATAGTTGGCTTATTAAAACCCAAAAATATGGCCTTACAGGATTGGGCAGTAGCATATGCTGCCAAGACTGGCTGTGGGAGAGACCTCTGTGCTTTAGGTTTTTAAATGAGAGCAAGCTTTTGCCACATGGTCTGGTACTGCAATCATTTTTGTCACAGGTTGTCAATCTACTCTTGGATGCCATACAAAATGTCTCCCTTACTAGACAGAAAAAGCTTTTTGCACTGTTCGTAGATTTTCTAAAGGGTTGCTTGTGGAAAACTAAGCCTTCTAGATATTACACGGAGATTTGGGGGAGGGACTGGAGTTAGACTTTCCATGGGAAGAGGTCAACGAGAAGAAACAAGGAAGTGTGGTAGCAGTCTAAAATTCACTCAGTGTTTCTGGCAGATTTGTTTGCTACTGTAGCTCTCCCATTTTGCCATGTTGACAGGCCTAGTCTATGTTTTCCTTTAGAAAATCCTGAGGTTCGGCAGTTTCCCCCTCAGTAAAATGGGGATAATGCTGACCATCTTTGTAAAGCGCTTTGAGCTCTACTGAAGGGAAGCACTATACGAGCTATGTATTAACCTTAACTAACTTTCAAAGAACGTTGTCTTATGAAAGACAGTTGCTATGGCTTCTGAATATTGGATAGCCAGAAATTTAAAATATTTGGTGATATTGGCACCACAAATTACACACTAAAGTAGAAAGGGGAATACTTATAAAATTGGAAAGCAATGGTCACCCTTTAAATCAAGAATAGAGATCACTATGGGATTATCTGTCTGCAAAGGCAACCTTGTAAAGATGGGACCACTGTACCAGAAGGAAAATAATTGTGTATAAAATATGTATACTGCTCATTTGATTAAACTAATTGAAGTACAACTTGGCCTGATGTATGACATTATAAAGAAGGATTTTGAAGATGAGAAGTTTCAAATGCACTGATTAACAGACCTTAGCAAATCTTGAAGTTATGTACAAAGTGTACTATGTGAGGGTGCAAAAACCTCCTACTTAAATGAAGCCAGATGGTACATGCTATGAGATGAAAAATGTAGAAATTTTAAAAATCTTTCCAGACAGAACAGTAGACTGTTTCCAGCAAAAGTTGATGTAGAATCCTAATAAGTCATAGCTTTGAGTATACTAAAGCATCCAGGTGATTGGTGGCTAGAGTTCAGAGTGCGAATGACTCACACTGGAGACTGCTGTAGGGTTAGAGTATTAACTGGTAACCAGTTCAACAATTAACTTGCATGGTATGGAAATGGACGTTTTTTTCATTTTATGGCTTTTCAAAATTGGGTATTTCTGCTTTGCAATAGCTGGAATGAATATATGAGCAGAGAGAGACAAAATGGGTGCAGTAATATCTTTTATTGGACCAACTGGTGAAAGAGACAAGCTTTCAAGCTTACACAATGGTCATCTTTAGGTCCAGTAAAAAAAGATTACCTAACCCCTCACCCACCCCACCCCACCCCAAGTCTGTCTAATATCTTGGGAGGGGAGTGCTTCTGTTGCCTGTGGCCAGTGTAGTTGGGGAGCTGACCCATGGCAGGCAGAGACAAGGCTTGCTCACACTAAGGGCAGTTGGTAGCAAGGTGGCCTCACTGCCCTGGGTACCCAGCATAGCATGAACGTAGAATATTCACAATTATCTAGGAGTCACAGTGGATCACAAGCTAAATATGAGTCAACAGTGTAACCCTGTTGCAAAAAAAGCCAGCATCGTTCTGGGATATATTAGCAGGAGTATTGTAAGCAAGATACGCTATTGTAAGCAAGTAATTCTTCCGCTCTACTCCACGCTGATTAGACCTCAACTGGAGTATTGTGTCGAGTTCTGGGCACCACATTTCAGAAGAGATGTGAACAAATTGGAGAAAGTCCAGAGAAGAGCAACAAAAATGATGAAAGATCTAGAAAATGTGACCTATGGGGGAAGATTGGAAAAATGGGGTTCGTTTAGTCTGGAGAAGAGAAGACTGAGAGGGGACATGATGACAGTTTTCAAGTACATAAAAGGTTGCTCCAAGGAGGAGGGAGAAAAATTGTTGTTCTTAACCTCTGAGGCTAAGACAAGACGCAATGGCTTAAATTGCAGCAAGGGCAGTTTAGGTTGGACATTAGGAAAAACTTCCTGTCAGGGTGGTTAAGAACTGGAATAAATTGCCTAGGGACATTGTAGAATCTCCATCATTGGGGATTTTTAAGAGCAGATTGGACAAACACCTGTCAGGGATCGTCTAGATATACTTAGTCCTGCCATAGTGCCATATTACCATATTAATTTTCTAAAGCCCTTTTATTCCAGAGAATTAAAGGTTTGTCAGTTTACAGCCCAGGGAGGAGACGACGCTGAGTGGCCTGAAGGTGTCTACTACAAAGGGAAAAGTGCTGGTGGTGTGGAAGAGGTGAACCTCTCCATGACCCTTGGGCGTATGCAGCGACAGCAGATCCAGGAGCTGTGCACTAGCTACGCGCCAACGTTCTCAGCCACCCCAGGACTGACTGAACGGGCATACCACTCCATTGACACAGGTAATGCTCACCCAATTAGGGTCCAACCTTACCGGGTATCTCCTCAAGCTAAAACTGCTATAGAACGGGAGATCCAGGATATGTTACGGATGGGTGTAATCCGCCCCTCTGAAAGCGCATGGGCATCTCCAGTGGTTCTAGTTCCCAAACCAGATGGGGAAATACGTTTTTGCGTGGACTACCGTAAGCTAAATGCTGTAACTCGCCCAGACAACTACCCAATGCCACGCACAGATGAACTATTAGAGAAACTGGGACGGGCCCAATTCATCTCTACCTTGGACTTAACCAAGGGGTACTGGCAGGTACCGCTAGATGAATCTGCCAAGGAAAGGTCAGCCTTCACCACACATCTCAGGCTGTATGAATTTAATGTACTCCCTTTCGGGCTGCAAAATGCACCCGCCACCTTCCAAAGACTTGTAGATGGTCTCCTAGTGGGATTAGGAGAATATGCAGTCGCCTACCTTGACGATGTGGCCATATTTTCGGATTCCTGGGCAGACCACCTGGAACATCTACAAAAAGTCCTTGAGCGCATAAGGGAGGCAGGACTAACTGTTAAGGCTAAGAAGTGTCAAATAGGCCTAAACAGAGTGACTTACCTTGGACACCAGGTGGGTCAAGGAACTATCAGCTCCCTACAGGCCAAAGTGGATGCCATCCAAAAGTGGCCTGTCCCAAAGTCAAAGAAACAGGTTCAATCCTTCTTAGGCTTGGCCGGTTATTACAGACTATTTGTACCGCACTACAGCCAAATCGCCGCCCCACTGACAGACCTAACCAAAAAGAAACAGCCAAATGCTGTTCAGTGGACCGAAAAGTGTCAGAAGGCCTTTAACAAGCTTAAAGCGACACTCATGTCTGACCCTGTACTAAGGGCCCCAGACTTTGACAAACTGTTCATGCTTGGACGCATCTGTGGTTACTAGGGTGTGGGAGCAGTTTTAATGCAGAAAGGACCTGATCAAGAATTCCACCCTGTAGTGTTTCTCAGCAAAAAACTGTCTGAGAGGGAAAGCAACTGGTCGGTCACTGAAAAAGAACGTTACGCCATTGTCTACGCTCTGGAAAAGCTACGCCCATATGTTTGGGGACGGCGTTTCCACCTGCAAACCGACCATGCTGCACTGAAGTGGCTTCACACCGTCAAAGAAACTAACAAAAAACTTCTTGGGTGGAGTTTAGCTCTCCAAGATTTTGATTTCGACATTCAACACATCTCAGGAGCTTCTAACAAAGTGGCTGATGCACTCTCCCGTGAAAGTTTCCCAGAATCAACTGGTTAAAATTGTCCTTGAGATGTAGAAAATATTGTTAGTCTTTATGTACTTGGTAGTATATTTAGAGATGCACGTGTCTTATTAACTCTGTTTTTCCTAGAGCTCCAGGAAGAAATCCCAGCCAGTGTTTCACCCTAGCTGAGATTTGGTGGGCGTGTCATAAATATAAAGGGAAGGGTAAACCCCTTTGAAATCCCTCCTGGCCAGGGGAAAGCTCCTCTCATCTGTAAAGGGTTAAGAAGCTAAAGGTAACCTCGCTGGCACCTGACCAAAATGACCAATGAGGAGACAAGATACTTTCAAAAGCTGGGAGGAGGGAGAGAAACAAAGGGTCTGTGTGTCTGTCTATAGTCTGTCTTTGCCGGGGATAGACCAGGAATGGAGTCTTAGAACTTTTAGTAAGTAATCTAGCTAGGTACGTGTTAGATTATGATTTCTTTAAATGGCTGAGAAAAGAACTGTGCTGAATAGAATAACTATTTCTGTCTGTGTATCTTTTTTGTAACTTAAGGTTTTGCCTAGAGGGGTTCTCTATGTTTTGAATCTAATTACCCTGTAAGGTATCTACTATCCTGATTTTACAGGGGGGATTTCTTTATTTCTGTTTACTTCTATTTTTATTAAAAGTCGTCTTGTAAGAAAACTGAATGCTTTTTCATTGTTCTCAGATCCAAGGGTTTGGGTCTGTGGTCACCTATGCAAATTGGTGAGGCTTTTTATCCAACATTTCCCAGGAAAGGTGGGGTGCAAGTGTTGGGAGGATTGTTCATTGTTCTTAAGATCCAAGGGTCTGGGTCTGTAGTCACCTAGGCAAATTGGTGAGGCTTTTTACCAAACCTTGTCCAGGAAGTGGGGTGCAAGGTTTTGGGAAGTATTTTGGGGGGAACGACATGTCCAAACAGCTCTTCCCCAGTAACCAGTATTAGTTTGGTGGTGGTAGCGGCCAATCCAAGGACAACGGGTGGAATATTTTGTACCTTGGGGAAGTTTTGACCTAAGCTGGTAAAGATAAGCTTAGGAGGTTTTTCATGCAGGTCCCCACATTTGTACCCTAGAGTTCAGAGTGGGGGAGGAACCTTGACAACACCTAAAACCTCCATACATTCAGAGTAAGTACTAGCTCTCTCAGAAATTTTTCCAGCAATCTGCCATTCTTCTGTTTTGGAGGAATCCCCTCTAACCATGAGAGGAGAGTTCAGTCCCTGGCTTATTTAGTCCTTTAAACTCTCTGCCAACACAGTTGTCAATTAGTGTCGGTGGTGGTGGTTTTTGTGTGATGGACAACTTTCCACTACGACCTGGACTAAGATCATCAACTCATTTCACATAAAGAAAAGGAGTACTTGTGGCACCTTATAGACTAACCAATTTATTTGAGCATAAGATTTCGTGAGCTACAGCTCACTTAAGTCACCCAGTCTTCATCCTAAAGTAACAAATTTCCACTACCATTAACCTGGGATTGATTCAAATTTACAACCTACAGATGAAAGTCCCTTTATTCCACATCCAACCCCATAAAACAAGTAGTGCCATTCACACTAATCTAGCCTACCTTTTAGCTTTCCTAATGACCATGCTTAAGATACATCCCTTGAAAGGGTAAATTGCTCTGGTTTCTAATACACTTCATTTTTTTCATTATTATATAATTGTGGTTTCAGGCTACTGCATTTTGTATTGCCATCCTAAATCATATAATTTATGCCCCCTTGTATGTTCTCTCATTGTTCTCTCTTCCTGCAGAGGGCAGGACAGGAGGCAATGGGTTCAAATTGCAGCACAGACGTTTTAGATTAAATCTCAGGAAAAACTTCCTAACTGTAAGGACAGTAAGACAAAAGAACAGACTGCCTAGGGAGGTTGTGAACGTTCCTTCACTGGAGGATTTCAAAAAGAGGCTGGATAGTCATCTGTCTTGGATGGTTTAGACCAGTGGTCCCCAACCTTTCTGTGGGAATAGCACATTCCTATTCCCAATGGACTGTGGCGGGCGCCAAACACCCCGCCGCCGAAATGCAGCCGAGAAGCAGCAGCGGAAAGAAGCATCGCCGC